CTAAGACTCAGTAAATGCCACATTCAATAATTAACAATAATTCGCTATTTTTGCAATTTTTTTTTTTCTTTCTTTTTTTTTTTGCTCATTATTGTTTTCTAATTTTTATTTTTTTTATTTTTCATTATTTTTATTATTTATTATTGTTTTTTTTTTTCACGGCTTCAATTTGCTCTGAAATTCAATGCCCGTTCAAGTTCGTCGCTCAATTACGGCTACACAATCTTGTTATAGGAACCTAAGTCCACAATAAATACGAGGACATACGGATGTTGCATTGCCAAAAGTTGAAAGCCGGATCATTAGTGCATTGTAAAACAACAGATGGGCCATCACTATTCAGAGAAATGGAACTTCCATCTGTATTAGGTTTTGTTTTATCGGATCTTCTTTTAACAATTGTCGTCGACAAGTTGGACACGAACTATGCTGCTCAAGCCAAGAACGAAGACAATATCTTGTTTAAATAAACGTGCAATCAGGTTTTAATAATAAATAAGAATAAATAAGAATAAATAATAATAAATGCTTAAACATACAAATGAAACATATGTCCGCATGGTAATTTTTTGGCAGAGGCCATGGAATCCCGACATATTGCGCAATCATCGTTATAATTATTTAGTTCCGAGTCAGTCGCATTTGGGTACCTGCATATATTAAATATATGAATTACAAAGCACTTTTACCAATTCTTATTCAAAAATCAATTCCTTACTGAGTTTGCATATTGCTAATTGCTTGTCGGTAATTGCAATAGGCCGTAATCTTTTTTCTGAGATTGTTGAAAACACTTCGCATATTCAAAAATAACACGGCGTCAATTAGAGTAAATGACACGCCATGTAAAAGCTGTGTGAAAAAAAAAAAAAATCAATTCTAATGTTCTTAACTTTAATATTCTTAATACAGATATAAGATGTATATAGTCTCACCATTATATGCAAGTAATGTCCAAGTGTGGCAACAAGTATTAAAGTATCCGTGACAAATTCTGTATAATATAAAAGAAGTCCACGAGATTCCCAAACACCAGTCCTAGAAAGATCCCTTAGATGAATTACGTATTTCACGAGTGTTTGAACAGTATCCAGGAAAAGTGTAAAGCACTGATTTAATAACAAAACATAATATATATTAATTATTAAAAAAATGTAAATAGTACAATTTAAAATATTTTTATCACCTACCTCAAATGTCAGAAGTAATAACATCGATCTAAAAATTGATATGCACATTATGAACCAAAATATATCCGAGATTAAGATAAGGATCAAAAGTGACAAAATGCGCAAATGATCTTGAACAGGTGTATTTGGGGTTAATGCAAGCTATAAAACAAAAGATAATATTAATGAATGATAATTAATTCAAAGAATATAAATATATTATGAATACATACATGCTCAAATCTATCTCGACAAAGCATGCTAAATATCCTCAAGAATCCTAGAATGGTAAACCATGTTGTCCAAATAAGTAGTTCTTCCCATTTTGGTTCCAATATTGCACCCACAAAAACCACTTTGAACAAAAGAAAATTGAGTAGTCTATCATACATATGCTAAAGATACAAAGTATGAATGATAAACTCAATTAAATTCGTTATCAAATTGAGATTATGAAAAGGCAATAAATTTATAGTATACCTGGCTTTCGATAACTCTCAGTTGACCAAAAAAAAAATCTTAAAGTCAATCTTCCAAGGAGAAATAAAAAGAAAGAAAAAAAAAAATTGCAAAAATAGCGAATTATTGTTAATTATTGAATGTGGCATTTACTGAGTCTTAG